CCCTTCCCACTTTCCCTACACCTTTAGCCCTTTTCTTCCTATTTCACATTGTTAATTATCCCAAGTCACACACATGTAAATACCGAATAGTTTCTCTGGTGTGAAAAACTATAATACTACCTCTTCATTTCTTATGCAATTGATGGGTAGTTGTCCTAACTCTGAAAGGGCAGAAAAGCCTGAAAGCTCATTTAGAATAGTTGAGTCTTTTTACTGCTTTTAAAAAACAGTACTCATTGCCTAGAGTATCTATGAACTGTATTAACATTTCTCACAGGTTTGAAACAAAGGAGACTCATGGAATTAAAATTCTGTAGGAGGGCTTTAAGATAGGGCTGGCCTAGTGTGTTTTATCCCAGTGTCTTAAATTTATTTTCATGTATTGTCCAAGCCTAGTATTTGTTAGAGAATATTTCTTCCCCATCTTTTTAGAGTACTCCTACTCTAGAATGCTTTAATGGTACTCTAGAGCAATATGCAATGTTTTCTGCCTGTAAACTGTACTTTGTTTCTATGTGTTTTACTTGTCTTTGGAGTGGTTCAACTGGAAGGAGTATATGATAAAGAATGAACTATCACATTGATTAACTATCTGTTCTACATTGTTTGAGATTTTCTTTAAAAGAAAAAAAACATCATATTACAACTGTATTCTTGAAAACATGTGCTTACTAGTCTTCTGCTCTGTATGAACTTAACTTTAGTACATAATCTTTTTCAGTAATAATATTTTTGCCTATTCTATTTACACTGATTTTTATCTGTTGGAAATATTCCACTGAGACCTTTTTATAATATAGTCCACCTGATTTACCTGTTTTATTAGAAAACTTAGTGTTGTTCTTAAATAACATGAATACTTCCTCTGTATTATAGTAGTGAATTTATTTTGGCTTACAAAGTTAGTTTTATGAAATGTGTCATTTTATTAATGAAAAATTAATATATTTCCATTACTTGCCAGCATTTATTGTATTAATATATTGCCTTTCACTTTTCTATATCTTAGTCTTTTATTTTATTTTATTTATTTTTGTACCAGGGATCTAACTTAGGACCTTGCACTTGTTTTTTTTGTTTTTGTTTATTTGTTTGTTTGTTTTTGATACCAGGGATCAAACTCGGGTCCTTGCCAGCCGAACCACTGAGCTAAATTCCCGGCCCTTAGGACCTTGTACTTGTGAGGCAAGGCACAGTGCCACTGAGCTAAATCCCTGGCCCATATCTTAGTCTTTTGAAAATTTCAAGTATTTTTAGAAGTAGGAACAGGATAATAAATGTTTGTATACTGTTTATGTAGATTTTTAGCTATTAATATTTTGTCAGTGCTTTCTCTTTAGTTAGTTTTTTTCAGAATTATTTGAAAATCAGTTGTAAACAGTGTAGTGCCCTGAATGTTTCAACATGTTTCTCCTAAAACCAAGGACAGTTTTCTTCATAACCATAGTACTATTATCGTGCTGAAAAGTTTATTATTGATATATTATCTAATATGCAGAGCAAATTGTTCCATTTGTCCCCAAAATGATTTTTTCTAATTCTTATTTATTGTTTGGTCCAGAATTCGTGGCCACCATCTCTTTGTTTCCTTTTATCTAAATTGTGCCCTTCATGTCTGCCTTTGTTTTGGTCTTTCATGACATAGATACTTTTTAAAAGTCCAGGCCAATTTTTTCTCTTGGAATATGTGGACTAATTGTTTCATTAGATTGAGGTTAAATATTTTTGGCAAGAGTTCTCCCATATGTGATTATGTCTAACTTGTTTGTTTTTTTTTTTACTAGATAGTTGGGAAGTAAAAATGGAATCCTATTTATTTTTCTTACATGTTGTACCATAGAATATGAATAGTCATAAACCAAATTAAAAAGTAATCTGAACAAATGATAGTTTTAAAGTAATTTGCTTTCTTTGAAGATTGTCTTCAAACTATTCATCCTATGTATCTCAGCCCTTCAAAAAGTAGTCATGGCATTCCTGTATGTTATTTCTGTTTTACAAGTGAAGAAACAGATTTGGAGACCAGATAGAACTTGCCAAACTGGTAAGGGACATTAGGTGACTCATTGTTTTCCTAATAGGTAGGTAACAGAAGATAAAAATTCATAGACTTTTTATTTTTCCTCAGAGACATACTGCTAGACTTGATTTGGAAGGCAAAATTAGATTTTTTCTTGTAATCTTACATACTCTTGAGTCAGTTTAAAAGTCAAAAATGGCAGTAAAATGAGCTTGAAGCTACAACAAACTTCTAAGTGATCACTTAGGCATGTATTGAATCTTTGCTATTTAAATTTAGGAGGACACTTATAATGAAACTCCTCTGTTACTATACCATTACATTTGTACTTCTGGCCATAATGATATGGATATAATTCCAGAATAGTCATAACAGTATTTATATAAAACCTGACTAAATTGGCCATTTTTTTAGTTGATTTATTTTTTCCTAGTAGCAATAAAAGCTGATGGCAAGGTGACTAATGGGATTCTATAGTCAATCAGTGCCATTATTAAGATGACTAAAATCTCACACTTAGAAATTCCTGTGATTATGTCACAATTGACTATAATATATTCACAGGAAAATTATTAATCTAGTAATTTTCATGGACTTGGCCTTAGATTTGGGGACAACATGGACTATATTTGATTCTGAAAACTAATACTTTAACTGTCTGTCCCCACTGTACATGACTTTTATCTAAAGTATAAAAGAGAATTTTAGAAATTAAAAATGAGGTAAGAGCTAC